ATGTGAGGACTAGATGGGAAAAACTATGTGGGGACAATATGAAAAAACTATAGTGAAGGCTAGATGGGGAAAAAACTATGTGGGGGCTAGATGGGAAAAACTAGATGGGAGTTAGATAGGAAAACTAGATGGGAGTTAGATGGGAAAAACTAGATGGGAGCAATATGGAAAAAACTATATGGGGGCTAGATGGGAAAATAGAAAAGAGAAATAAAATAGAATAATAAAATATTACGAAAAAAGTTTTACATTCAAATTTATTAAAAGTGTAATTTTTATTTTTTAGAGTTAAGCATGGAATCATCGTCTGATTTGCTTGACTTTGAAACTGAACCGTGTCTGATGATGGAAAGCGTTTTGGAGGATGTACCTTTGCCAGATACATATTCACATAATATGATATCAAGCAGCGATTCTCTTCGCAGAGCACTGAGTTTTCCCGAAACGACAGACGAGCATAGTATAAGGAAAACGAAATATGGCGATGAATGTACTAGTCTAACGAATCTTACTCAAGCAATCTTGCATCGTCGCAAAGCAAGTATCTAAAATAAAACTTATAATATAAAAAGGATAAGATATATAATAATATTTAATTGACAGGTGGAAGATGAGGGTGATGATGATTGCGATTCCGTGAGCGAATCCGACACTGGGACCAACGACGGTCCTGTTCCTTTGACGGATTACTGTCCATCTATAGATCTTGTCGATCAAGTAATCGAAGTAGATAATCTCGTCACTAAACTTCTGAAAGTGCTACGAATCATACAGCTCGACAATGATACGTGTATACAGGAATTAAAAGAAGAAAAGTAAGTTCACATTTATAACATTTTAACTAAATTTCACCTAATTAGATTAGATTTGGATTATTAATTGGAACGTCGTTACTTGCAGATCTAACTTAGAGATAAAACTAGAAGCCACTGTAACAGAATTGAACGAGCTTCGCAAGATTCTCGATAATCTTCATCAATCGCCGGAAGAAGTTCTAAACAATGTCCCAGATCGACGACGTAGCGTTGTGGAGAATTGCCGGATTTTGCTCAAAGAGGTAATAGCCGGCGATGTCGCCGATACATTTTTATAGTGTGCTTCTTCCACGCTACTGCCATATCTTTGATTTAAATTATTTATTTTTCTAAAAAAGATGTCAAAAATAGTATAATTCCTCTATAGGCGGGTAAGGAGGAATTAAAATTTGACGAGGTCGTACTTGCTATTAATAGCAGTCCCGGCAAGATAGACTGTGAAGATCTCAATGCGAACGAGGCGACTTCCGCTTAAAATATTTTATTAATTTTGTACATTTTTCCCTATATAGTTATTATAAATGATTTCAATTTCTAAGAATGTTTATGCCAATTTTTGAGAGTCTAAATTATATTAAATATTGATAAATCGTTTTAATATTAATTATAAAGACGACATTTCTAATTTTGACATGAGTAAATTTTTAAAAATGCTTAGCGCATAAATTTGTATTATGTATATTTTTTCTTTGAATGTATACTGCGTATTTTTGTGTGTTTTATAATGGCAGGCTAGATATAATATTGTACATATATATATATATATTATAATAGAATGTTGTACGTCGAGATTGCGAGGAATAATTGAATCAAATTTGAACGACTACGGGCTCGTCACTATTTTTAAAATAATTGTACATTTAAAAAAAAGGATTATTTCAAGAATAAATGATTAAAATTACAATCAACTATGGCTAACTAGCATGTAGAAGAATATCAAAGAATATTTAATTTTGTTGATTTTGCATTATATTTTTTCATCAGCATTGGACAAAATATATCACGAATAATAAATAATGATTTTGAATATATATCTATAAATGTATTAGTGTATATGTTTTATATGCCTAAATTATAATTAAATATATATTTAACATATATTTTAATACGTTATGTGATAAGCTAATACACTTTCCATGAAAATATGTAACTGTAAATGTTACGTCGCGAATATATTGTGTCCAATATTGACTCCCACCGAGTGCAGTTGATCATAGAATCTTATTTTGAATGTGTAAGGTAACTCCTCATATGTTAAGTTATAAATAAAAGATATTTTTAAGAAGAATATTAGATACAATTCTTCATGTATCGAAATAAACAGGGTATCCTCTCTCTCTATACATATACATTTTTAAAATCAAATATTTAGTGGAGAATACAACGGAAGCAAGGTACTATCATACAAAATGAAAATATAGAATTGGGATACCTTAAATTGTGTCTTCGATCATACTTCTGCATTGTCATAAGCATTGTGTGACATCCAAGAATATAGATAGAAATATTTTATGATAAATTGTACAGATATAAAATGCTTAAAAAGCTTTTTAGTAGATGAAGATTAGAAAAATAATCTGTTTGATTATGTATGTATGTAATTTATTTCTTTTTTTTTTTATCGAAAAAGTTAGTATTTAAGATTTATCTATGATAAATCTTAAAGATTTCTTTTGTCCAGTGAAACCAAAACTGAGGTATTAATTGTAAATGTTTAGATGAGTTTCTTTCATCAGTGGAGCTTTGCTTTAGCTTTAAGTATATAGAAAATATTATGATGACACACTAAATACAAAAACACATATGTATTTTAATGTTTGATCAAATAAATTTTCATATCTCAAGATAATTAAATACATATATTTATGTATTCGTAATTATACATATATTTAAAGCAATATTATATCTAGTAAAGTGTACATGAAAAATTATATAGTTATCAATATAAAAGTCTTTGTAATCATAACTAACATTCACGATTGATTAATAGTAATAGAATAGTAATCGTATTGTGTACTGTGACATCATTATCAAAACGAAATTATTAATAGCGACAAAAAGAATATTTTAACAAGTAAATCTTGTATTTAATGTTGGTTTACGTAAAGTAACATGTAAATACATATGTGGGTACTGCATTATAATTATCTGTTGCATTGTATTGATAAAGAAAATGTCATGTCAATGAAATCATCATTTCTATAATTTTATGTATTTAATCTTTTAAATTACAGAGGAATGAATTCATTAATATTAATCGGCACATATCCCTTTATTGATACTAAATGCTATGTAAATGCGTGGTACGACATTGAGTCGATCGTCGATCATACACGTTATATTCTACGAGTACTCGTCCATCATCCCTGTAGATGCAGATATCCTATCCCTATGGAAAGAGATTCCTCTTAAAAATCTTCTAAATAAGTTTGAAACGAATGCGCATGCGATATTGAAAAAGAAGATACCGTTTTTTTAATATATGCTCTAAGCAGAAGAAACTATGCGTATTGGAATTGTGAGTATTGAGGAGTCATTTTAGTGCACACTCGTGCCTCGCTCGTGTTGAAAGTGACGTATGAAAGGCGCAAAGAAATTCGCCAACCGTAGAGCTGGTCTGGAACATAAAAAAGTTCATCGAAAAAAATGTAATGTGCTGAATTATTTTTATAATTAAAAAGCTGAAAATTGTACGTGATATCAGTTACAATAAGTAGTCGATATCGAGAATTATAATTAATAATATCAATAAAATTAATCGCTAGGGCAGCGATATAGATGGATTCTTACTTGTGTATTGTCTTCGAGATCACCGGATCGGTTTTGTTGTGGATACTATCAACGCCGGGTTTGTCCAGATCACTGACGGACTGAGTCGAGGATCCATCCAGGCTGGGAATTGATAAATTCGGTGGTTCTGTGGTGGCAGCGGCGCCAGCCAAGAGCAATGCCTCGACCGGCGCGATTACGAGTACGACACCGTCCACGTGAATGCGATAATTCTCGCTTCCGTTTTGCCTCTGGTCGTAGTAATCGGTGGTATCGGGATATGTGGATGTAGGCGCGGCCGTGGTTGCGGCTATTTCCTGCGGGACCACCGAGGTGTTCTCAATCTTAGATTCGGTTAGCTTGTCGGTGACGGGCAAGCATTGTACGCTCGCACCGAGGAACGCGATAAGCAGCACAGTCTTGAATACGCGCATGTTGATTGATAACATTGATAAGCGCCTAGACTTCCTCGAGTTGCCTTCCAACTCGTGAACTTCTCGGGTTCACTTTAAACACGACTTTAATCTACTCTCTACTCTGTCTAGCAAGATGCCTTCTGCTCGATTCCGATTAAATTTCCGCACGATTCCAATCGAAGGTAACGACTTCGGAAACTGCGGGATACCGATTTGACTCCGAATTCGTCAAATTATTTCCTACTCAACGGACATGAACTCGGACCGACCACTTTTTGCGGCTCTTAATGATGCGATTGGACCGGTATCGCGAGATGCGACAAAAGCGGACGAAACGACGCTGGAGAACGTGGAGCGTATCCGGACGACACGGAGGATGCTCGAGGTGTGATGACCGGGCGATGTCTCGTACCAGAAGACGATCCCGATCCCCACCTGGGCGATCCGAACCTGAGCCTTCCTTCGTTCGGTTCTGGAAACGGATCCCCGGAAAAGTTCAAGAACCTCGGCGGACTGACAGCGACCTGCCGCTAACGGCATGTATACATCGTCACGGCGCTGTTGATACGCCATAAAATTCTTGTAATTTATGCGAAGATTGGAGAAGAGATTCACTCCAACTTGATTAAGTCTCTGAACTATGCCTTCCTTATCCGCAATTTTATGGATCGATATCTACGTAAAATCGATAATACATTTGAAAGGATATTATATTTTTTTCCTTTATAATCATTTCTGACATGAAAATACTTTATTTCTCAATTCCGCGATTAAATTTTAAATATATAGAAAAACTTTTAATTCAGGCTGTTGAAAAATTTGTTTCTAATATTAAAGATTTGATTAGAGATTGCTAATATTAATAAAGTCATTCTTTTATTTTTAGTCACTTATAATTCAAGAATGGTTCATCTCGCTAATTGCGTTTATCTTCATTTAATGTCCAGCCGAGAAAAGATGCGTGACGCTGAAATGACGATCTGGAAATCGATCTGGAATGGACGATGGAAAAATGATATTTATCGAACGTTCTTTCGTCTTTTATTACTTTCGTCGGACTGCAATAGTACGATTGAGACCGCCATCGAAGAGAAGAAACTTGGTAGTCTTTATAGCAATAATGATATTCGAGGATTGAAACTCGGTGGGACTGCTGACTTCTGGTTCTCGTCAACGACGTATCAATCGGGCCTCGAGTGTCCCTCAACGATGATAACCAGTTTTATTCGAAAGAAAAGGAGATGCAAGAAGGAGGAACGCGATGATGCTAAAGACAGAGCGTAATAGTTATCGCACGACATGCACACAGCGCGCGAATATATATGTACACGTCTACGTATAGGTGTCTGCACCGACTATAGTCACCAATCTCTGTAAAGGGCAATGTCCTATCGTGGCCGTTCGCGGTGAGTTCGTTTCCCCGATCTACCGTCTCGCAGCTTGGCGCCTATTACCGTAACCTTGCCCTTGCTCTCTCTTTCTCTCGCTCGTGCTTCCGCCTTGCGATGGGAATCGAATCAACACCGCCTGCGGAATCGAATCAACACCGCCGCCGGCCTTTGGGGAACGACCTTCGATTTCTGGAAATTTCCTGGGGCCGGTATCGCATGCCTTTTATGGTGTCTCCGTTCTCGATTGGCAAAATCACTTTAGGGATTCACAGGGTGAGAATCCAGTCCTATGCTATTTATAGCTCAGCAAGAAGAAAAGTATAAAGAATGAGAACAGTAAAAGGAAAGGACAACAAGGAAAGAACAGAAAAAAAGGAACAGAAACGGAAAAGTAATATTAGTAATCTTGTTTCTATATATTTCTGATGTTTCTATATATTTCAAGAATTGATTCGGAAGAAGTGAAAATTAAATTGCAATTAAATTAAAATTATACTTGGTTTAATATATATTTAAATACATGTTTACGTTGCTTTTAAGTATTTTATTGAATAGCTTAATAGATACATGCGATATAATCTTCACACGTGTATATTTTACATAAAACGATAATTATCTCGCGTTTAACGCGTTTTAATGCTAAATTTAATGCTTAATCAAATAATTTATTACCCCTCGTCTTTTTCTTTTATCTTAAATGGCTCTTGTATAAGTAAGAGAAAATGAGCTTTTCTATCTACAGATCTGTAATTAGTAGATCTGATATAACATTTATGCTAGATAAAAAATAAAATATTGCACCATAAAAAATAATTGCGATAACTAGCGTATCTTGTTTAAGAACTACAGCCATGGAAGCTTAAAGCTAAAGGAGAGAACCGGCCGATTCGTCGAATTGGCAGAGCCCAGATGCGTCGCGACGTCTTCCTGGACCACAGTTCTCGACACCGTCGCCCAGCAGTCTCAATTCTTGTTGCTTCTCCTCGGGGAACGTCAGAGACACGTCGTTCTTGTCAACGTTTGATGAAGGCAGCGCGACATTTTCTTCCCCCCTTCGAGGTAACTGCTTCTTCAACGACGTTCCCGGTCTTCCCGACTCGACGTCGGGATTCCAAACGTTCCCGACCACGTTCCGGGCCTGGCCAGCGTTTCCCATTTTAGATCCAAGCAACTTCCTCGCGTCCACGAAATATCCCAGAATAGCCGGTACCTCGCGGCTTTTTGGGAAGTCAAAGTTCTTCAGATTCTTCGCGATTCTCTCGACACTTCTCGTTTCTTCAGTCTGTCCCTCGTTGACGGACGTTGATTGCTGATCCGAGATATTCGACGTTCCTGCGTCTCCCTCTTCCGTTTTTCGCACCGAGCTTTCCTTATTTGCAGGATTTTCATTTATTTGTATAACTTGCACGGTATACGGCTCCTCGTGAATCTGCTCGCCAAATTTGATTGATTCTTGATCCTTGAATGAACTCGATCGAGCCAATTGGAGCAATTCTTGCTGGAGCCCCTCGAGGGCCGTCGACGCAAAGGTGTTGAATTCCTTGCTGCTAGGAAGGGTCACGACGAGGAGGAAGTTCTCCAGATCAGCGCGTATATTGTAAACGCCTTCCTGCCGTTGGTCGTATCTCGTTGGTGCGGCGCGAACTTCAACGAGCGCGAAAAACGCCATGCTGAGGAAAAACAGCGGTCGGACCATCGCCATCCTCGTGGTCTACGTCCTTATGCGTGAGCAAGACGGGAAGGTGTGACGATGCCCGACTTCGCGGTACAATGCTCTTCGGCAACGCGAGTGAAATGAGCGAGGTCCTTTACGCAACTGCGACGATCGCGCGAGTAGCGGGTTCGCCGCACTCGTGCGACCGTTGCGCGAACCGGTACACGGAATCTGTATATGATAGGGGGATCCATCTCGCCACCAGAATTATAGGACACGCCACGTCGATTGAGAGACGTGGGAACGATACAGATCGCCTGTGCCCCAGCGCTGTTACGGGTGGCATCGCATCGCGATTGAGGATTTTGATAACGCGATTAATCGCGAATTACAAACAAACATTCAGCCGGGCAGCCAAACGTAACGATTAGGAGGAATGGAAAGGTGAAGTAAACGGAGGAAAAATTACAAGCTTATGAGTGAGATAAGAACGCATGCGGTTGCGCTTCCTTCTGCGTGAGTACATATTAATCGTGCATTACATCTTTCAGGAACGACGATTCTTCCGACGATAATGCCGACGTTCGCCAGCGTTGAAATTCGGAGCACGGGACTGAGGGTGATGAGAGGAAGCGCGCTCGGAGATAATTATCGCGTTACGAAAGCGCAAGTGTGGAATTTATTTCACCGTGTGAAGGCAGACGTGGCGTAAACACATTACGTACATGGCACATCTCTCCGAAGGATATTTATTTTCAAATTTACTCCCATGCGCTTCTTGCGCATCCCGGATCCGATCGATCTTCCGGAAGACTCCACCCGGTCATCGCAATTGTACTCACGGCAACAACGACAACCATGGTCGACTCGCACGTCGGCAACGTCCGTCACCGTTTGGAATATATCCAGATCTGCAACGCTTTTGCGATCGCAGGGCGTATATGGATTTCACCGTACTCGAAGGGGCGATAAAAGGAGTTGTTTCAGGAGAGGATTCATTCTTCTCCACATTCGGTTGATTTTTATCATTATCGTTATCTGCATTCGGTGTCGAGCTGGTACTATCACTCGACGGATTAACATTTGGGGTTTCTTCGTCTTTGGATAGCGTCGTATCATTTGCGGCAAGGCTTACGTTATTGGCGGACATGATCGATGTAAGCGGTTCGGAGATTTGTGCGATCTTTTCCGTGGTTCCCGTCGCGGAACTCGTAGTGGGCTTGTTGCCTGGCTTGATAGTAAAATCGGAGTAATCGTAGAAGTAATCATAGTCCTGCGAAAATAACGACGTCAACGGTGAACATCGTCGGTGAACATTTACCAGTAGTATTTAGCAGTATTACGAAATTTATTTATTATTTAGCGTAAGGCGCAAAATGCATGCTTTAATATAAATTTCGTACATAAAATCTAACATGGGCTTTGTAAATTGCAGGCTTCAATCACGTGTATATGTAGAACCAATATGACATGGTTATAGACTGAAGAAAAACTTCGACTATTTCTTCAATTACATCAAATTGAAGTAGCGCAGAAAGATCGCAAGCTATACCATAGTAAAATTTAATTATACTTTATTTAATTATACCATAGTAGAATTTAATTTATACTTTCACAGATCTTATCTGAGAAAAGAAAAGATATAAAATAAAACTTGGAATAAGAAAACGGATAAAAAACGGTACTATATTCCAATGGAGACATCAACATCATAAGAAGATGAAAAGAAAGAATTGAGAAAGAGGACGTCGCTCTATATCTTATGCAAAAAGATTTACCGTGTAATCGTTCAGGAAGTCGGAGTTGAGCATTGCGAGGACTTGCAGATCCTTCAGCTCGATTTGCACGTTCAGGTCGCCAGACTGTCTCTGATCGTAGACCGCCCGGGCTGGGGGCATCGCCGTCGCAAAGGAACAGGCCAACGCGATAACGAGGAGACCACGTAGGGCGAACATGATCGTCGTCGTGATGTGACCGCGATCGATCCCGATGAGGTGACTACTGAAAAATGTGCGGCGGCGGACGCCCTGGGGCCCGACCTGATCGCGGCTTGGCCTCCGGCGGGGACCTGTGCCGGCCGGCGGCCGGTTTGCCCGCTCTCGGGACGTGTGATTCGGTCTCGCGTTCTCGCGCGGGAAGAAAACCGGTATATACGCATACCTGCCGGGTGGACACCTCGTCGTAAGTAATTCCGCGTTTCTCTGTCACCACACGACATTCGCCGGCACGATCGTACAGGCCCGCCGGAGTACGATGCCCGGTCGTTGCCCCCTCGCGCTACGGCGCGTTCTACCTTGACGGCCGGCCTTCGAGACGTACATAACATTACACGTATGCCCACGCAATCGGATCGTCGCACATGTATATTTTCGTATACGCTTACTTCGGTCATCAGAAGTGCTTGCACGTGCCAATCCCGTGGCAATCTCGAACCCGGATGGGCTGGATACCCATTCACTCGGCGCCCGTTCGAGAGATTTGCTCGGTTAAATGCTTCATAGATATGTGTACAAATAGAATAAAAAAGGCCTACCAGAGGAAACGAAACGCTCTCGAAAGAATTACGAGGTTCGTTTCACATATCCTCGCTTCCTGACTTTATAATGTAATTTTTATATAATTTGTTTATATAATTTTATATTTTATATAATTCGTTTTATATAATTTGTAGCTCCTTTTGGTAAAAATAAGTTTTAAATATGATTATTTATCGTAAAATGTAGATTATAATTGCAAAATCCAATATAGGAAGAACGATACGAAAAATCACAATAATTCATTTTTTAATTTTTATTAAATTTTATCTGAATAGAAAAATTTCCAAATTTTGCAAGTTTGAATTTCTTGAATATAGTGTTTAATAAGAAATGTTTAATAATTAATAATTACCGTTTTAATTCTTTGGATACATAGATAGAAATACAAACATTATAGATAAAATTATCAGTATAGACAGAGTCATATAAATATATGGATAGGAAAAGAAAATAAAATTACATCTTTCAAGAATATTCTTTAACATCAGTTTTCTTTTTCATAAACGCATAACTTATTAAATAACAGTAAGATACAATAAGATTTTAAAATAATATACGAATATCTTTAATCGTTCATGCTACGAAAACGTTCGAAAAACGCGCGCATTCAGAAGTGCACCGACGCGTGTACTTTCTGTACTTTACAGATCTGTTCCTCGAATTCTTCGTGCTTTTCATTCTTCCTTCTTTTCTCTCCAATGTCAAATTATCTATACATTTCATTTCAAGTGCAGGAAAGTCTAACGTAGTGCAACAAATGAAAGATAGAATGGCAAAACGACCTTGGAGCACCGGGTACCGAGTTTCCCCGATGCGCCGTAGCTGCACCCGTCTGCACCCGCCCCCGCGAGCATGTCGTAATCGACGATGCAAACAACAGTAATCTGTCACTTGGCACGTCCGTGATGACGCCGACTCGAAATGTCGCGCACCGCCGCGTGCGCGCGTAATCCGGGTGTGGATCGTCATCGTCGTCGTCGGCAGCGAAATCAGCGGGACGTCGTTCAACCCGTCATCATCGTCGTCGTCGTCTGGATTGATCTTGATCATCGCGCGGCATAGTTTGACATTTCGGCGCGGCGCCGATGCGTTCCGCTCGCTTCCCGTGGGATGCGCGCCCGCCACTCGTAGCGCCCGTTGTTTACCTCTCGACGACCCTCGCTTCATCGGCAACTCTTATCATGTTACGCGCTGATACGAACGATGCTCCAATTTTTTAAGAAGATTGGTAATTACACGCGCCACACGTCGCTTTGCATCGCGACGTAAATCACGAACGCGTCCCTTTCGTCTGGCACTGTCTGACACGCGCAATATAGACAACTGACCTCTTGACATTTGCAACACGTTTTCCTTCTCTCTCTTTCTCTTTTTCCGTCTCTCTTTTTCCTCCTTATCTCCAAGATTTTTGAAATTACTAATTGATAGCATTTCGCCATTCGAGTTTAAATGTTGCTTTTTTTTTAAATATTCATGTCATTTTATATTCAAAATTGCAATTATTTTAGATCTATTCTGCGCGTATGGAAAATGGCTATTTCATCAATTCCAACAATAAACATTTAACTTTTCATCATAATCAGATTGCATATGATACTTGCAGGACAGAAGGATAAGTCCGAATTATTAGAAACTTCACCTACGAAATCGACGAACTCGGGTAACTTTCTGGCAGATGCGTTCAACGATGGTGCACCATCCATTCAAACATCCTCGGGTGTATTATGCAATCTCGAGGAAGAAGAGGAGGAAGAGATTTGCAGTAATGACTCTAAGGAAGCACGCGTCTTCACCTCTCGGTTATCTAAAGCTCTGCCAGAAGTACTTACTGACAAAAGTGCCCTTGGTTACTTCATTCAGTTTATGGATACCAGAAAACATATAGCTCTTATCAAGTTTTGGCTAGAGGTAGAATGTTTATGTAGCGCATCTGGTATTCAACCCGAAGAAAGAATCGGGCCGTCAAATCAAAAGTTGGTGGACGCCTTGCCTACTTCTTTAGATGATAACGAAAACTTTAGCTGCGACGTTCTTGCTAGTGGTGTAGATACTAAAACGAGCAGCGAAATGACGTTCGATGAGAAGGCGGACGATGCGACATCCAACGATATGCCAAAGACTAGTCAAGCGATAAGCGAAACGCGACAATCAAATCATGATTGCGGAAGTAGGAGACATGATGTGACGACGACTAAGCAGGATGCCTTGAGGATTTACAAGAAGTACATTCTTAAGGAAACTCTGGGTATAAATCAAATATCTGAGGAATTGAAATTAGATATGGAGAAAGCTGTTGTTCAGGAAAATATAGAGCCTATATTACGGTGCCTATCTGCTATTCAAAGCATAGTATATGATGTATTAGAGAACGAGTGAGTAACACACATTCTATCATGTTGATACGTGTCATTCGAGTAACTGATTATGAATTAACTGATGCATTTAAAAATATACCTTTTATAGATATATTAACGATTTTTTACGAAGCGAATTTCACTGTAAACATCAAATCGATGTACTCACCAGTGGCAATGTACAATTAGCAGATATATTGTATAATGAAACAGCATTCTTTTATTTCATGGAGGTATACTTCATGCTTTCAATCGTTATTTCTTCAGTAAAAATTTTTGCAAGAAATTTTCTCTTTTTCATTCTTCGCATTCTAGTTTATGGAACTCGAAAATAAACGAGAGTTGTTGGACTTTTGGATGTCGGCTATTAATTACAAGCAAAATCTTTTAGAGAAAAAAGGTGAAGCCAATCCTGAAGAAGCACAATCTGATGCTGTTATTATATATGAGAAGTAATTTCTGTACATATATACATTCTGTGTATATGCAAGAGAGAAATAAGTAATTCAAACAAATATTATTTTTTCAGATATTTTAGCTTGCAAGCGACCATGCCGCTTGGATTTAGCGACAAGATTCGTTTTCACGTAGAACAAAATATTTGCCGTGAAGATGAGAGTGGCCCGCAACCTGATTGTTTCGATAAACCTAGTAAAATTGTTTATCATTTTCTCAACAAGGTAAACTCATTTATTACACAGATTCATCTATAACTTTATACACTGTATTCACTACATGGATTTTTATATCAAAGTTGAATTAAAAGCCTGCATGTCGTATTTTCTTTTAGCATTATCTCCCGGCATTCTTATCATCGCAGCTGTATTATAAATACTTATCAGAACTAATCAGCACAATTCAGACCAGCCCGTGTCCGAGTTTACATTCCAAGATAAGAAGAACAGGTTGGTATCGATTGCTTCGTTTAGAGCATATTACTATTCCTGAAATATATTAAAGGCTATACTACTTCTTTTAGTAAATTTTATATAAATAAGTGTGTGTGTGTGTGTGTGTGTGTGTGTGTGTGTGTGTGTGTGTGTGTGTGTGTGTGTGTGTGTGTACGTACGTACATACATACATACATACATACATACATACATACATACATACATTACATTATTTTAAAAAATACTTACAGGTTCAGATTGTAGCAGCGAAGTAAGCTCTGTGTGCACTAGTATGCCAAGTATTTCTTATATAGGAAATAATGGCAACAGATTATCTGATAAGAAAACTATTAACAGTCACTTGAATATCGATACCAGGCAACTTTATGATCCAGATTCTTTATGGCGACGTAATAAATATAGGTATATCTCACATTTTAACATTCATATACACATTTGTATCAGCTTGTAATCCGCAAGTAATTTGATGTATTTTGTAGTTTAAGCATCGGTTACATTGATAATTTAGGTAGATTTATTCCCGAAATAGAGCCCGATCCTTATAGAAAATACGGTAAGTTATACATAACATTTACAGTAAACTTGAACAAATATAATATCAGATTATATAAAATCATATGTACAAATTTCAGAATCTCGCCTAACCCGTGTTGTAAAACGATTTGTAAATATAGAACAAGATAAGGTAAATATTTTATTATTATGATTTTATATTAAAACAATTCGTTGCAAACAATAATGAATTATTTATAGGCTAAAGAAGAGTTAGCATGGAGGATTGCCGAGATGATCATTCGTGAAATCACATCCTTGACACTTGGAGCTTCAAATCTTCCCTCTTGATGGTGCAAACTTTTTATGGCGATTCCGAGGCTTCAATTTTCTTTAAGTATAAAATATGTTGTGTGTTTGTGTAAGTAAATTATGTTTTGTCTTTTTATTTTAAATGTTAATTAGCGCGATAATGCTGCAAATTTTGCCAAAGTGCCAAACACAAGCAAACAAAAAAATTCTAATTATTTATTTTATAAAATAGTGTTTTAAAAAATGATTAATAAGATATCTCGTGTGTTTTTACGTTTTATATTTTCATATTTCAATATAACAGTAAAATAGAAACTGTTAATCAGTAATTTAATGATTAAGTGTTTATGATCAGTGTAAATAATTTTATTAGAAATGATATTCACATACATATATTTTAGTACTTTTATAATTTGTTGCATAAAATCATTTATAAAGATCTTATAAGCAGCATAATCTGTAATATTTTTTGTAATTATTAAAAGATCTTCCTAATTTATTATAAAATACTCTATGCGAGCAAAGAACAATAATTTAACGAATGCAATTTCTTCATCAGCCATTGTCAATTGTGACATCAGAAGCAAGAAAATCAATGTAAAATCATTATCTTATCTCTTACATCTAATATAATATAAATGACGTATTTATAAAATCCTTATTTAATATGACAAAACAAGCTTATGATGTATGTCAAAATTTATGTAGAATATTTGGAATAATGCCATTTCTTTTTTCCAATATGTCTTAAATTTTTACAGTTGTTTTTAAACATTTTTGTATGAAACTTGTTAATATCGTTTGCATTAATTTCCTCGCTTCTGATAAGATGGTTAATGTAGATATTAACGAATTCTTAAAGCATAAGATTTTGTACTTTTTTCATTGCCAGTTTATATGACGAGTTGGTATTAAAATAAGATAATAAGATGTGTGTGTATATATAATGATGCATGAGACCGCCGTTGATCGTGATATTATGATATAGAAAAAGATATATTTTAACAATATTTAGAGCGTATAACATGTAATATTTACATAATAAGTACAAAATGTTAATAATGAAACCCCTTATATACATGTGCTCCACTTCTATTTTGTTATATTTTTTTATTTATGAGATCATTATAAACATACACACATACAAACACGTATTGTAAAAAAACAATATTTACTGACATCTATTTTTTAAAAATAATCAAACAATCTTGCATATTGTCTTATGTATTGCGGATGCATTGAATCTTATATTTAAAAAACATGCATGCTGTTCTCTTTTATATTTTCTTCGTCGTCATTCAAAATCTCGATTTTCTGTAGATTATGTTTAAATATTATCCTAAATTATTGTCCATTCATTTTGTATTTATTATATTGGATGTATAATATATAAAAGAACTATATTTTAATACAACTTCCCTGCGTAGTATATATATAATGTATAAAATATAATTTGTTAATTAACAAATTATATTTTATACACTATTTCTTTTATCAAAAGATATTTCGAAAATATTTTAAAATATTTTATCCATCGAGACAATCTCTGAGAAATCTGATAAAAAAATCGCGCCTAAATAAGAATACGCGATTGTGAATCTGATCTTATAACGTGAACATTTTAATGACTTTATATATTAAAATTTCCTTTTAACACTATATGGCATATATACATTTATTTACATTTCTGGCAGTGAACTCTGTTTCTCACAGAGATGAAGATCCGTTTATACTAACGTGCGGTATTTTATGTCTGTGTTCTGTTCTTGGATTCAACAACGGAGACGATTCGGAAAGCTGCACGTTGCTATTTATCTTGGAGATCGCATTTAGATTGATAGTGCTTGATTTGAAATCTTGACAACATTCAAAACGTAATTTTTCCCTTCTAGTCCACGACTGATAAACGATCGCGTTAAAGAACGCTTGAAGAGGATTCGTCACAGCCTATTGATTAAAAATATCTCGATCATTTTTTTTGTCTAAGCATTTAAAATGATATCTATACAAACATACCATTATATACCATAAAGTGATGATCACCCTGATCGGTAACTGAAACCACAAGGTCCACAGCAATACTCCGTTAATTAAATTCGGTATCCAGCACACGTAGTAAACCAGATTGATGAGAGCGAATTTTAATCTAATTGTTTGTATCAACCTCCGTTCTCTTCCAGTCATTTGAGCCATGCTGTACAGAACTGCTGTTTCGAAATCTCTAGTTGATGCGATGTACAAAATAGGATTTGCAATCATCACCACTGTCAGCAGCACATATGTGGCACAGTAGTTTGGAAGAATACGTAGTATCGCGCTAGATAATGATGTCAAGCTGTGACAACTGCAAGACAATTTCGAGCTTATTGTCGCTCTAAGAGCTATGTAAAAACAATATTGATATTTTTGAAATCTGACTTTGCATCGGGGATGTACAAAATGATTAATCCGAACGAGGTGAGAACGGCAGGTAGTATCCAGGCAAAAACGTGATAGTACACAGGATATCCGTTTTTGTCTCCCAAAAGTAACTTCATGTCCACCGCGTAACATAACGTCCATATCCATGTAGCCATGTAGAAATATTGAATCCAGGCCTACGAGTAACAATAAGTCTTCTCTACTGAAATGAATTACTTTATATTAAGCGTAGAAATCAACGCTTACCGAAGACAGTGCACAAAACACAACACTTGACGTATCACCCTCCATTGGCATAATAGACTTAAAATTTCTCCACAGCACCGACCTCACAAACACACCTGATCGAATATAGAACAATCAGATAAAATACTCGTCCTGTCGTCTACCTATCGTATTGTTATACGTTCATTGACCAAAATGAATTTATAGCTGTTTGTAATTAATTTGCAGATTGTTTATGTACTACTAAGCTATGGGCATAATCAAATTGCGATAATAAACTAGACCTAAAGACGCTAAGAGATCGGCAACAGCGAGCCGTACAATAATATCTCGGCCTCTGAAAAAGCCCCTCCAACGAAAAGAGCTATTCGAATCTTCTCGGGGTAGTACCTGGAAAAGAATTTTCCTTCAATATTTAAACGGTGCCAATTTGTGAACGTTTCTTAGCATCTTCAATTATTTTCACCAAATTTATACCAATTTTATATTTATGTAAATATATATTATTAAAAATATGTTTTTCATTGTAACCATTATATATTTAAATTTTATATATATATATATATATATTACACCACACACACACACACACACACACACACACACACACACACACACACACACACACACACACACAAAAAGAAGAATAATAATTATAATAATATATATATATATTATTATTATATATATATATATATATATACACACACACACACACACACACACACACACACACACACACACACACACACACACACACACACAAGTAAGGAAAGATAAAATTATTATAAAAATTAACATATTTTATTCAGATATTTTTATCATACGTTACATATATTTTACAATTATTTAAAATAAATAATTGTACGTTGATCTACCGATATTTCTTTTAGTTGCACTTTTTCGTGCACTTTTTATTGATAAAACTGGTAAATATGTTAGAAGGAAAAAACAAAGTGTAAAAAGTGCAAGTAAAAGTAGATCAAGTCTTATGATAGATAACTTTCAGTTCCAAATTGGGATTTTTTTACACAATCGATTCTGACCGTAATAAAATGTTTTGGATCGATTTTTACTCTATACATCAATTGTAAATTAAGAAAAAACGAATCGACAAGAAAATCTCATTTGGAGTTCTTGCAAATTTACCTGATAAATCGCGCCTATCATTCCCATCGTCGACGAAAGCATACACACCGTGTTGTACGCGTCTGTATTAAACTCCTGCATTAGTGTTATCGCCCTATCCGTTCGGTTTGTGTGATGACAGCAAAACGTTTGTAAGGTTGGATCGGCCATTATTATCGGATGTTATCACAGTCAAATCCAGCGTGTCTCTGCCCGACTATCCTATGATCTAGTGACTCTCTGATGGAGTCCCCCACTCAAGTATGCAACAACCAATCGGTATATTTAAGATACAAACTTATCTTACGATAAGCGAAACATGTATTAGTTTTCTAAAACAGAAATCTCTCAAGAGAAATCTTTTCTTTTTTTTATTGCAACTTAGCTTTATATCCATTACAGCCTGGAAGTCAAAGTAATCTTATATAAAAAATAATCTTTGAACACGTGACAGTAATTACGTTAAATTAGTTGGATCAATATATATACATTTGAATAAATTAGAATTCAATATTTTCTTCGCTTTATTATGTCAGGTCGCCAGTCAACTGGATGCGTCTCTTCGGTCTGGAAAAATATAGATAATTATAATAGTTGACATCAAGTTCTCGAAAAGTGTTGAGTCGATTGAACGTTAATTATCTGCTTACAATTACTAAATATAAATGTTATCTAAGTAAAAGCAACTTACAGCAGTATCGTCTTCCTTGTATACTTTAATAGTCTTATCAGCCTCTGTTGTAATCATGCGAGTGCCCGACATATCGAACGTAATGCTAAACACTCCAGCTTCGCTATCCATCGAGCCAGGCTGGACCGGTGCTTGGAGTCGTTGGAAATTGTATCCAGTTCGCCAATCCCAGAGATGCATGGTACCGTTGTCAGCACCGGAAACTAGAACCCCATCGGCGTTCACAGCCAAGCAATTAACTATGGCATTGTGACCTGATAGATTTTGAATGAATTTTCCTTCCGGACATTTCCACTGTTTAATATTGTCTGGCGATGCTGAGGCAAACATGTACAAAGACGGATGGAATGTCAGAGCTCGTACGCTCTTCTTGTGATTCGTTAAAGTTGCTCTAGATTTCCCAGCAGCAAGATCCCACAAACGTATCGTGCAATCGTGACTGCCAGTGACAATCTGTGGCTCAGCAGATTGGCAGATCACACTAGCCACTGTATTAGTATGTCCGACAAGAGTGTGAACATTGGCCTTGGTACGCATATCCCACACTCTTCCAGTGGAATCTCGTCCGGCTGTTACCAAAACATCTATAGTCGGATGCAATGCCATGGAATATACTGCTGACAAGTGGCCATGGTAGTGTCTGATCACTTTATTATATTCTAGATCCCAGCACTTGACCTGGCGGTCCTCTCCGCAAGAAAATAGGTATGGGTGCCTTTGTGAAAATGCAAGGCCACGAACACTGCTTATATGACCAGTCAATGAAACCTTCAGCTTGCCACTTGCTAAGTCCCATATCTACAATTTTGAAACAATTGGTCATGAGATTATATAAATTTTAGAATGATACTAAATAAATTAAAATACAAATGAATAGAAATGTCATCATCAAACATTTACCTTGATCACTCTGTCGGCCGAGCCTGTAGCAAACCACTCGTTTCCAGGTTCTACAGCACAGCATCTTACCCATCCCAGATGACCACTGATAACTCTATACAATTTCCATGGTGCATGCCATTTGGGTTTCGCCATTGAAGGTATCTTCTTCTGTGGCATTACACCACTATTACTTATATTGCTTCCTATACTTGTTGATACTATGCTTGTGCTTCCTTTTGTTATATTATAAGGAACAACAGCAAAAGTAGTATTAACTCCAAAAGTTTCATCTAAAAAATTTCTATAATATATAATAATTCTTTGGTTTATATATCAATGTATAATGCAAAATATTACCTCCTGGTGGTGGAGGATCTGCAGTGTCATTTTCCTGTTGTACTTTGGCTATATTATTTTGCTTGACGCGTTCTAATACTGGGCCATAACAGTCTTTTGCTTTTATAACCTTCTTCATCTGCTGTCTGAAGATAAATATATCAAATAAATTAATAATCTGTCTTAAACTTGAAGCAAATTTAGAAATAATTCAGAACAATACAATAAAGAAATAATTCAGAACAATACAATAAAGAATACCCACAGGATAGGATCTTCTGGAGGTAAAGATCCTTGATTTAACAAAAACATATCATGAGTCCTTTTTAAGGATCGAAACACTAGTGTGTGCACGGAATGCCGTTGGACATCCTAGAACAGGATAATAAAATCTTTATAAAATCTATATATAGAGTTCCACATCACATCTGTACACATATTTTTAACTATTTTCACAATGCTGAAAACAACATAAAAATGCTTGTACCATGCTTCTTAATATTGTAAAATATTTTCAAAATTCCACACTTCTGAAGTTGTAAGATATTTATTTCGTATTTCGAATCGGCGTTTTAGAGGTTAGAGGACTCTTCTCTAGTTGCTTTCCTCTCGCGCCAATCCATTGGAGACTTCCATTTTTTTTGACAGATGGGGATTTTTATGTAAAGCGAGACGCTATAAAACTATGATTGATCAATTTGTCTACTATTATGTGCGCGTATATTATTTATTACATAAAATTCTATATATATCACCAGAAAGAAATCCGATAACGGCTATACCGATCTTTTTTGTGAAATTCCTCAAATTCCTTCGCACACTACCGCTGGTACATTCATTTTTGAATTTGGAACTATTACATCTATTTTCCAACACTATCGATAAAATCGCATTCTGATGCGTGTCCTTACTGCATCTATAATTCATGGATCAAGAATATACTTATATATAATTATATACCTCCGTATAATTTTTTTGTTGTAAAGTAAAATACTGAATAACTTACTGAATAATTAATAATATATTTATCAATATGTTCATATTTATATATACACAGCATTTTATATATATATATATATTATATATATATATATATATATATTTACAGAAAAAAATTTTTCTCTTCTAAACAGCAAGAAACTAATTTTATTTGTTAACAAGTAGAGATATATTATTTAACAAATTAACCATTGTTTAAGTTAATCAATTAAAAATTGATTATTAAAATCCTATTGAATTATCTCTCACAATGAATCATATTCATTACAGTTTAATAAAAGAAGAAAAGGGGATATCTTCCTTTTCATCTAATAAAACAATTTTGAGAAAACGATTATGCACTGCAGTCAGTTCAGTCAGATATAATAATAACGTTTATTATCTAAATTTATTCAGATGACATTTTGACCTGCTATACCTCTGCTGTTATTGCAACATGTTTTTCAACGTTAACGCTTGTTATCATCATATTTACGTCGCCTCCCGCGGAGATGAATATGTGTGCATTATATCATCCAATATAACACATCTCTTTCATGGCTCATCCTCATTGCCTCTAGGCGAGCTGAGAGCGTGAGAGAGTCTCATCTTAGGATCTTCAATCGGCTTCATTTAGAAAGACAAATTTATACACTTCTACGTTCTCTAACATTCAGATTTAACATCTAAAAATGCCGACAAATAAATTAGGTAAGTTATTTCATAAAATTGAGAAACAAAAGTGATTTAATTAACCTTTAATTGATGCCACGATGCCTACTGGAGATCACGTTCGTTGAATCTACGCAGAATCTTTTCCTTGCTTCTTCTTTCGTTGACGAAACGCTAGCAGTTGATTTTGTCTATGTTTTTCTCCCATGTAGATACGAATAGTGTTTTTACTCGCCATTCGTCTCGATAACTATGAAATTAGGCATTAAATTGGAATTCAAATTATATTACTTGCATTTGTTCACTCGTCGTACCGGTCATGATAATTTAAATCTTGGCTAAGGCGAAAGATCAGTTTTTAAAATGCATTTTCTGCATATTAATAAAAAAATATGCTATTTTAGAGATTAAATAAAATGAAGACTAAATAAGAAAAATTAAAAGAATTGTAATAATTAATAAAAAAAATGATGCAGTCGAACAAACAATGAATAAAATATTAAAAGAGAGATATAAATTTTCAGATGTTATGTGCACATAGGCTCATATTTTGAATTCTTGTTTATTGATAAAAAAGAGTTCAAAATACAGGCCATTGATTTTATTAATTTTTTTATATTTTTATATTTAATATTTATTATATTTTTATATTCTAATATCTTTCATATTTTATACTACTGATCAATTTTATTGTATGAAATTTTCAGCTCTTTTAAGCGTATCAGATAAGAGCAATCTGTTACCATTAGCAAAAAAATTACATGAATTTGGATTGACATTAATCGCTTCTGGTGGTACTGCACAGGCATTGAGAGATGCTAAGTTACCTGTGCGAGATGTTTCTGAAATTACAGGAGCACCTGAGATGCTTGGTGGACGTGTGAAGACTCTTCATCCTGCTGTTCACGCTGGTAAGAATGAATTTGTTATAATTAATTTATGTATATTTAATTAAGATGTTATTTGACTAACTGTGCAATGATAACTATGAACAATATATGCAATTAAGATATGAATTCTTATAATCTTTTTATCTTTCTCATGACAGGTATTCTTGCCAGATTGACAGATTCCGATGCCCAAGATCTTCAGAAGCAAAATTATGATCTCATCCAAGTAGTAGTTTGCAATTTATACCCATTTGTAAACACCATTTCGAAACCGAATGTAACGGTCGAAGACGCGATAGAAAATATTGATATCGGTGGTGTGACTTTGTTACGCGCTGCTGCTAAGAATCATAGCAGAGTTACAGTTATCTGTGACCCTATCGATTATGAAAAGGTCATCAAAGAGATGGAGGCTTCTACCGACAAGAACACCTTTTTGGAGACTAGGTGAGTTTGCTTAATATGGCACAATGTTGGACATTTTATGAAATTGTTTTTCAATATTTTTGTATATTTCAGACAAACTCTGGCCCTGAAAGCATTCACTCATACTGCTGAATATGACAATGCCATCTCGGATTATTTCCGCAAGAAGTATAGCGCCGGTATCTCTCAGCTTACTCTTCGCTACGGCATGAATCCACATCAAAAACCCGCGCAAATATTCACTACTCTGGAAAAGCTACCATTGTCTGTATTGAATGGGTCGCCTGGTTTCATCAATTTGTGCGATGCGTTAAATGGCTATCAATTGGTAAAGGAACTTCAGTCCGCTCTGAACTTACCTGCGGCGACTTCCTTCAAACACGTCAGTCCAGCTGGAGCTGCAGTTGGGATTCCCTTAGATAGTGTGCAGGCGAAGCTGTGCCAAGTGGATGATCTTTATAATCGTGGAGAGCTTACGCCCTTGGCAACTGCATACGCTCGTGCACGAGGTGCTGATCGAATGTCCAGTTTTGGTGACTTTGTCGCATTGTCTGACCCCTGCGATGCTGTAACAGCAAAGATCATATCAAGGTTTGTGATATTAATATTTGATATTAACATATGACTTTGATATTAATACAATATTAATGATAGTTTTCAACAATGTATTATACTATAATAACAAACTGCTTTTGTAAATATTCAGGGAGGTCTCAGATGGCATTATCGCACCTGGCTATTCACAAGAGGCACTTGAAATATTGAAGAAGAAGAAGAGCGGTGGATATTGCGTGCTTCAAATTGATCCTTCTTATGTACCATCCCCGATGGAACGTAAAACTCTGTATGGCCTTGTCATGGAACAGAAACGTAACGATGCGATGATCGACAAATCAACGTTCAATAACATAGTTACAACGAAGACGAAATCTCTATCGGAGAATGCTATTCGTGATTTGATTGTGGCTACTATCACTGTAAAATATACGCAGAGCAATTCCGTTTGTTATGCAAAGGATGGACAAGTGATAGGTACGGGAGCTGGACAACAATCTAGAATTCATTGCACTAGACTTGCTGGAGACAAGGCTGATAACTGGTTTGTTGTTTTTTTATTATACATATAAAAAAATTAATATTGAAAATATGGAAATATTGTTTATTACATAATTAAGGTGGCTTCGCCAACATCCGAAAGTGATAGGAATGAAGTTTAAGAAGGGCGTAAAAAGAGCGGAGATTTCTAATGCTATTGACAATTATGTCAATGGATCCATTGGAAAGGACATGGATGAGGCTACATGGGCTGCCATGTATGAGGAAATTCCTGAGAAATTATCGGAAGTTGATAAAATTGAATGGATCAAGAAGCTGGACAATGTTGCTTTAAGCAGCGATGCTTTCTTCCCATTTAGGGATAATGTCGATAGAGCTAGACTCGTATGTACAATTATTATTACATATTTTTATTTTGTATAAGTCGTTGAAATAGTTAAAAATCGCATGATCAGTACTATTCAGCCGACTTGTTTTTGTCATAGATGATAAATTGATTAACATTATGCTTGATATTTTTATGATCTTTATTCTTGTATTGCAGAGTGGTGTCAAGTTTATCGCGAGTCCCGCTGGCTCTACAAATGATGCAGCGGTAATCGAAGCTTGTAATGAACATGGAATAGCATTGGCTCACACTGGTTTTCGATTATTCCACCATTAAATCTGAGATAGATTTTATACATACATTGTTACTATTTTTATACGATGTATTCAGCTGAAAAATTTTTTCCAATTAATGTTACGTCTCGATATATAAGAAGAGCGATAACATAGAAAATATTTTTATACCTCTTTTTACTTCTAATGTTAAGCTTTATATGCACAGTTATATATTAAACTGTTAAATATAAACACATTTGTGTGTATATATATATATATATATATATATATATATATATATATATATATATTCTTTTATTATTATAATGATTTACCATAACTCCCGTCCTAATTTTATAGTTTTATTAAAGTAATCATGTCAATTTATTTCTAATATTTTCAGATGACCAGATTGATGAACCGCAAATTTCATAAGTTATCGATTCTATTGACGTAATCGATTTTTTATATTTCTTTACAAATATCGGAAAATAAAATAAAAGCCTAATAATCCTTTGAGTATGTGTTTATAAATATTATATATGTATTTTTTATTAGCATACTTTTTGGATATTTAACTTAAACAACAATTAATTTATTGAGTGCATTATCTGTACCATTTTGTTAATAGATATATAGATAAAATTATTAATGTTTTTTCTGATTGATGATGAAAAGAAGATAATATTAGGAACAGTATAAATTATGCAATTAAATATTTTGTTTTAAAAGTTTTGAATTGACCGCCACTTAAGCTAATCGGAGCAGCGAAGCGGAGCTTGCACCACTCTGCACTTTGCAGTTTAAAGGCTGTTCTATATGAAAATAAGCAATTATAAAAGCATAATATAATTACTTGATATAATAAAATGTTAATATGCATTTTTCCAAAAAATGTTATAATATAAAAATTCAATATTTACTGGTAAAAATATATTTATATTGTATTTTTATAATTAAATACTTTAGGTGTGCAACAGCCTTTACAAGGCATGAAGCAGAAAAGAGCAAGAGAATTTTTCCGCTAATTGATGTCTACTTTTGCCTCTCTGTTAATCGGTTTCAATGATTTTGTACCATCCGGTAACCCCGCCAGTTTTTATTTACTGAAATATTATTTAGCAATAGCGTAATTTATAAAGTTAGAAGTAACTCGAATAATCATGGATGAGGTCGATAACGCTCAAATAATTGTTAGTGAAGTATATACATGTGTAACATTAGTTATAAGTAAATTTGTTTAGATATATGAATATTGACTAGGTAATTTTTAATGCATTTTTATACAATGTTAAATTGCAAATTTATTCATTTAAATATATTTATATCGCAGTATTTGCAATTAATATTTTAAAAATTGTTTGTGAGTTCTTTTATTCATTTGATTTAATCTGCAGAAGTTTACCTTTAATAAGTGATTAATGTATTATTTTTATTTTAAAATTTGAATCGTTTTATTTTCGATGATGATAGATCATAGTGAGACAAATTTAAAAAATTTGATTTTATAAATTTTTTTGTTTGATGAACAGTAGCCTTTTCTACTTTTGTACTTTGTAGGTTATTGCAGATGACATATGCAGAAGAGCAGGTATCGCAACAACCTGGATTAGCAGCAATAAATTCGGAATACATGCATACAAACACGTGGATAAATATTCGCAAGGTTATCAAATAATATGCAAACTATATATTACAAATATATAGTAATTCATAAATTTATAATAGGATTTGATATTACATTTGATATTTTTGAAGTAACAGCTTCCGTGATCTATTTTTTCAAATATTCAATATTATTGATATGAACTGTGTATACAATTTATTTGACATAGCTCTACAAATAGAAATATAAGGTCTGGACATTATGATACCTTTTATCATTCTCTCTTAATATATTATTATGGAAATATCAAGAAATTCATTAAAAATATATATTCAATTGTTTTTTAATTTGATTCTATTGTGTTTTATTTTAATTTTATAATTGTTCGAAACTATACCATGATTTTATGGACACATTGTATATATTTCTTAATATAAGTTAGATATGATATAATTATCTATTTTATCATATTACAAATTTGTTTCAGATACTAAAAGTCAATTTGCACCTTGCGATGCCAAAGTACATTTCCTCCGTCCAGAAATTATATTATTCTCGCCACTTTTGCGTAAACTGGTTAATGAGAGCAATGGTATCTTCCTGTCGGCTCAAAAACTTAAGTCTTCCTCTGGTGACATTAGGCCAGAACTTCTTAAACATAGCAAGCAGTATAGATCTATATTGAGAGCCTGTGTGGAAAACTTGCAAGAGATACTGCCAAAAGAGCCGTTATCGGAAGAAAAGACAATGTTGGAAAATTTTCTGACTATATTTTATCAAGTAGAATGCGTCTGGCATTTAACAGAGATTCTTTATGTCGATGCTGTACCAGGTAAATTATTAATTAGGTTAAAAAAAATATGGTAGAAAGATTGTAATCTTTAAAATAATACCAAAATATAATTGCAAATTAACATTTTTTTCTAAAAAGATTTTTATCCTGAATCTTTTTTTTTAAATTATTTGTGTTATATTAACAGGTGATGTTGTGCTACCACAATTGTTAGAGTGGATCAGCTTTCATTTTCCCTCAAGAGAGTTAGCGGCGTCAAAAATTTTGTCGCAAAAAAGCATCGGTGCCGATTTAGAAAATTCAAATTATTGGGAGGTTGTGATGGGCTGTGCGTTTCATGGTAAATTAAATCTAGTTTGTCGCCTCCTGGCATTGCACAGCAAAGCGGACCATTCAGCGTTCATTACTGCGGACAATATTATTAGAACAATGCCAGTGTACAATGTGTACGGCGGATATTCCGTAAATGAATTTATTATACGGTGGAAACATTGGCAAATGGATCTTTGCTCAAATCTCGAAACTAATTACTTTGTTATAGATAGTAATTTGGAGATGCTTATGAAGGTCAGTAACACAAAATACAATAATATAAATTTTTCTTTTTAAATATAAAGGATAACTTTTGTTCTACTTTTGTTTTACAGCTGATAGCAGGAGACGAATCAGTATTGTGGGAATATTCCTTATATACAGAAGCATGGTATGAATTATTAGCAGCGAAATTATTTTATTCGGCTCCTTGTTGCAAACAGCTGGAACTTTCGCGTTATGCGAACAACATTGCTGAGAGGTGGCAAGCTAATAGACACTTAGATCGTGTAATTCTTGCCTTAATGGAGAACGATTTATATCAAGTTATCAAAGAAATACAATACATGAGTGATAATGGCTGGTTCGCGGCCCATCTGATGGATCTATTATACAAATGCGGAAAATTAAATATTCTGAGCAAAGAAAAAACTAAGTATGCAAAAAACAGGATAAAGAGCTAATTCGAGTAAATGAGATCAATGAATTGAAATATCTTGTGTCTTACAGTGTGACCGCACAACTTCACGAATCTCTCATATTAGAGTATGGTACTACTTTAATGAGCCATCGCTCATTATGGCAATGTGGCGCGAGTTACTTGATACATTGTCCAATCCAAGGTTTAGCTAGATTAGAGATTTTGTTGCAATCGCTATCAACGGGCACTGAGGCAAGAATCAACAAAATCATCGACGTCGCACGGGACAATAACATGCCGCACGTTGGTAAAATTCGATCTCTCTCTTTTCTTTTCTTCTTTGGTTTGTACAACATTTATAATAATTTAAAAAATGTATCTTAGTTACTAGTATATGCAAAATCCAAGGGATGAGGAGCATAAGACAAGGAAGATTGGGCAACGCTCTCACGTGGGCGCTCAAGGCACATGACGGCAATTTTACTACGTATATCGCAGATCAATTTTTAAAACATTACGCGGAATACGGGAAATTAGAGTGTCGCGATTTGTTGGAGAATTTAGGTTCCTGCATGTTGGCCAGCGACAGACTCACATTTTTAGGTAAAAAGAATTACATATAGTAATAATAAATAAAATTGAATATTTTGTAATATACAATTATTATTTATAATCATATAAATTGCACAATTAATTATGTATTACTGTAGTAACTAATATAAATTTTACTATAGGAAAGTATTGCGAATTTCATCATATGTATGGAATGGGTGAATTTCGTGAAGCAGCGAGTCTATTAGTATCTCTTTTAGTTTCGAATTTGACGCCGAAATAGTAAGTAGTTATTTATTTTTAGAATATCTCCACGATTACACATAACTATATCTTTAATATAAATTTGTTTTTTCAGTTTTTGGTCTATTCTGCTCACCGATGCTATACCATTGTTGGAAACGGAAGATGTAATCTTTTCTTCCAACGACTGCTACGAATTGTTACGTTGCATAGAAGCTCACGGCGATGATCCGAAATTTCAAGATAAGATTTCCGTCATACGAATAGGCGTTGCACGAAATCTGGCACGAGCTTTAAGTTTAGAAGGCTGCCAGGCCGAACATTGACTTATTCATTCTTGTATTCATTCTTGTAAAAAGTGATATATCAGTATCTTTTTATAATAAATTGTAATTACATTTAAAATATACATTCTAATCACGTGGTTGTTTTTCTATTTAATTATGTAAATTTTCAATTTGTATTCTACATTTTAGAAAAAAACATTAAAAAATATACATATACAATGATATATGTATATATAGTACATAGTACATAGTTAAACTCAAATATACCTTGTCAGTATTGAAAAAATGAGAATTATACATTATTAACATTATAAACATATGGATGCTGCAAAAATTAAAAACTTGTTTATTATTTTATAATTTAATGTTAGAAAATAGTTTATATTTCTCAATTAATCTTAATTTATAATAAATTTTTTTTAATTTTTAGAACTTATAAATTTGTACAGTTTATTAAGCAATATTTATTTATAATTAATATATATTACAGAGAAAGATGGAGACATTTATTTTTAATGTGACTTTTTAGATTGTTAAGATATAGATATTGAAAGATATTGGCACATGTTTGGTACATGTAACTGAAAAATTGAAAATAGAACAATAGAAGAATAAAGACTTGGACTCAAATTGCAATACATTTGAAGAAATGATAGTAAAAGATATTTATTCTAATCCGCTTACGGTCGTCTATCTCCTACAATATATAATTTTGTAAATGAAAAGGGAAACATTTTGCACATACAAATTGTACAGTATACAATTTGTATGTAGCAGACACAATAGGCTTGTCCTTTTTACACTAGAAGAAGAAAGATAAACTCTGAACTAGTGCAGCCAGTTCAACTAAAAAGAACAGACTCAATAAAAAAACAGATGGTTTATTTGATTTTTTATTCGCTATTAAAGATATTTGCACTTTGTATACTATCTGTCTTCTTCTCACATTAAAACCTCGATATATTTATCTCTCTTTAAATGCAGAAAGTGCAAATGAAACGAGTAACCTATTCGTGTCTCTGCCCGCGCTTTCCTCATGTTTTTGCGTCATTTGAATCGGTTCGCACGTGTCAATAATTTGATAAATTCTCTTATATTTTGTAAATAAAAACTTGTCACTTGTTGTCAGTATGCTGCTTATTTATGCTGTGTCCATTCGCAATCATCATACACATTTTTCTCATTACAGAACATGTTGTCCATCACTTTAGTAAATATCGATAGTTATCAAGCGTCTCCGATACCCGAATTGGATGTAACATTCTCAGAATTTCGTGGCTCCGAGGTAAAAAAGGTGCCGGTAATCAGAGCATTCGGGTCAACTGCCATGGGTAAATGAATACATTTAATACAGAAGATAATCTTGTCGTCCTTATTTCCTTTGACAAAGATAGATCAGAAAATAAGATTAGTATAAGAAAAAAGCAATGAGAACATAAATGAAACTTCTAAGAAGGACAAATTGAATTTCTAGGAAGTATAAATTGAAATGTCAAAAACAAGCATTAAAGCTACTGATTTATTTTCATTAGGATTTTAATACATTGCAGATTACATTAAACTATATGTCATCAAAAACATATTTTGTTACATACAATATTTGCTTTCAGGCAAGAAAACATGCTTGCATATTCATGGTGTTTTTCCATATATGTATGTCCCATGCACAGTCCAAGAGAATATAGACAGCTATATTTATCAGCTAGCTACGTCGATCGATTCTGCTTTGAATACATCCTTTGGTTCCGCTTTATCTAACAATCAACATGTGTACAAGATCCAACGGGTATCAGGAATGTAAGAAAACTTTAATTGGAAAAATTTGAAATTATGACATATTAGTAATTTTATTTTTAAGAGAAGAAACCTTTATTTTCTTTTATATTATGTATTTTATTTGTTAAATTCTTAATGTATATTGTTTTACAGACCTTTTTATGGTTATCATGAGAAAGAACATGTATTCTTTAAGATATATTTTTATAATCCAGCTATAATTAAAAGAACAGCAGATTTGCTACAGGTAATATAAGTCTGGTTTTCTGTTTCTATGCAAGCATGATACACTGTGCTGTGTAATAATGCTGTGTTCAAGAAGTTGTATATTGAACAATTTATTTTTTTTCAGAATGGTGCTATCCTTAATCAAACTTTACAGCCATATGAAGCACACATTCCATATATTCTGCAGTTTATGATAGATTACAATCTTTATGGAATGAATTTAATAAATTTAAACAGTGTAAAGTACAGAGGCTCGTTACAAGAATGTGCAACGGAAAACAGTCAAAGCAGATCTTCAATAGATTTATTAGACTCACAAACATATCTTCCAATATCTGTAACAAGGCAAAGCATGTGCGAATTGGAAGTAGACGCGCACGCTTCAGAAATTCTGAACAGACAAGGTATCAGTGAAAAATTAGAATTGAATCCTGGTCTCGCCGCAATTTGGGATGAAGAGAAAACAAGAAGAACTGAAGCTGGTCTGGAAGATGCAAAGTCGCAATTATTGTATCCTAAAAGTCCCAGCAAAATTGTTCTATCTCCAACGAGCAATGATCTTTATCAAGAGGGTCAATTATTAAAACGATTGAATGCTATATCACAAGTATTTCATCATTCTATTAATCTGTTTACAATTGTATAATTGTATAATTGATGTAATTAATGTATATGAAATTTGTTTAATATATATATATATATATATATATATATATATATATATATATT